CCCTACTTTGGTCCAATTTTGGGGTGTCTTCATGGGGACGAAGCCACCCCAGGTCCTACCGGCGCCGATGACCTTCTGGCGGGTGATGGCGGCTGGTGGGATCTCGGTGGTGAACTTGAGCATGGCTTGGTTGGGGTCAGCACCCATGTCACCCCCCCCACCTGTCCGTGGTGGCGCCGTTGTCACCGTGTCGCTCACCGGACTTGGAGAAGTAGACGTCCTCAACGGATTGGCGCGGGCGGGAGCGGCTCCTCCTGCGGGAAAGAGCGGTGACCCCAAATCCCGAGGGTGGAGGGGACACGGGTGGAGGGGACGGGGATGGATGGAGGGGACGGTGTAAGGATGGAGGGGACATTGATGGAGGGAGGTGACATGGATTTGGGTGAGGATGGCGGTGACAAGGACGAAGGTGACATGGATGGAGGTGACATGGATGGATGGAGGTGACAGTAAGGATCAAGGTGACATGGATGGATGGAGTAGGCAAGGTAATGGGGATGGAGGGGTGACAGGGATGGGGACAAGGATGGAGGTGACATGGACTTAGACAAGGATGGAGGTGACATGGATGGAGGTGACATCGATGGGGGTGACATGGATGGATGGAGGGGATGGAGGGGTAACGGGGACAAAGGGGTGACACGGATGGGGACAAGTATGGAGGAGATATGGATGGAGGGGTGACAAGGATAGATGGGACATGGATGGAGGTGACAGGGGTTAAGGATGGAGATGACATGGATGGAGGTGACATGGATGGAGGTGACATGGATGGAGGTGACAGGGAGTAAGGATCAAGGTGACATGGATGGATGGAGTAGGCAAGGATGGAGGGGTAACGGGGACAAAGGGGTGACACGGATGGGGACAAGTATGGAGGTGACATGGATGGAGGGGTGACAAGGATAGAGGGGACATGGATGGAGGTGACAGGGAGTAAGGATCAAGGTGACATGGATGGATGGAGTAGGCAAGGATGGAGGGGTAACGGGGACAAAGGGGTGACACGGATGGGGACAAGTATGGAGGTGACATGGATGGAGGGGTGACAAGGATAGAGGGGACATGGATGGAGGTGACAGGGGGTAAGGATGGAGGTGACGTGGTTGGAGGTGACATAGATGGAGGGGTAATGGGGACGGAGGGATGACGGGGATGGGGACAAAGATGGAGGTGACACGGATGGAGGGGTGACATGGATGGAGGTAATGACCTTTTGCCCATTTTTGCTGGGGAAAAAATGGTATTTTGGGGTTTTGGGTGTTTTTTCGGGGGGACACATCTCCTTACCGCCGGAGGACGTAGATGATGGCGGCCAAGAGCAGGAGGACGAAGACGATGCCGGTGACGGAGCCACTGATGACGGCGGCGGATGCCATGGCCTCGGCGCCTGTGGGGACA